AAAGTCCAAGAACAATGTAAAACAAATTAATATCTCTTGCAAAAAACACTCGAAGAAAACGTTCTCCGGGTTCGCAATCGTCTCAGAAACACCACAGAGACCAAGAGTTCATAAACATTAATCGAGTACCTCTACGCATGAAGGAGATTGCCGCAACATGATCAAAACACATCAAAACGATCACAAGAAAACAAACGACAATAATAAAACAAAAGATCAATCAAACTCACGCTGCAATTTCCAGGGAAGAACTCTCAAAGTTTGATGATGGCGACAGGCTTATCAGGAAAGGATGAGTCTGTCATTCGTGCAAAAGAACTTAAAGGACATTTTGGTCATTGTTCCCAATTTCGGGAATTTATTTTAATTACTTTTAATTGTATTTAGGCTTAGTTTTTGAGTATCCACCCCTGTTTGTGGAAAACTCTATATAAATAGGCTTAAGTCAATTGTTAAACGGGGACTACATTTCAATAAAGAAGAGACATTGCGCTTGATTCTGCTTGTCTTTTTTTTTAACCCTAACGCCCCAAGGAGAGGAGAGAGAAAACTTTTGCAAGAGAGAAAAATACCCCCGACCGCGCGGGTATGCACTTTCCTCTTCTTGAAGATGCTTATCGCTTCCAAAACTTTCTCTCTTCTTCTCCCACACACGTAATCCCACGCACGTCCAAGACTGCGTGGACCCGAGCAAATCGAAAAGGGTTCAAACCGACGCGCATCCACGTCTAATCTCTCTCCCTCGCTTTGACAGTCTGATAAGGACGACGAAGTTCCCCACTCACTTGTTTGATCGATAAAAAAAGAAAGCCAACCCCAGAACGAAGAATCAAGTTATCCATCGGAACATAGACTTGAGAGGAGAGAAGAGAGTCCCTGATCAAACTGCACTAGCGAACAGGCGAAGGGCTTTCATAACTGATCTAAGAGGGTGATCCGCCCGAACGTGTCCCACGAACCCCCAATGAAGAGGTAAGCGAATCAACCCTCCCCCGTCATAAAATCTCTCTCTTTGTTGGTAGTCTATCCGCACTCTAGAAAGCTAGCGCACCCGCGTTACCCGACGCGCCATGCGAGTGAACCTTTGGCGGTTGTTTGAGAGAGGATATTCTCCCCTTTCCCCCCGCGCGAGGGAACCAGAGAAAATTAGGCCCCGATCAATACTCAAACTTAAAACACTAAAATATTGCCCAAATTTCATTTCCTAATATTGAGTACAAAACTGTATAAAATACTCAATACACGCAATATTAGAAGTCATCGCCTTCGATTGGGTTGACACTGATTCTTACTGTTATTATGCCTTCTGGGCTCCTCAATCACTGGTTGTGAGGACTTGGTCATGTCTTCTGAAGCATGACTACTTTCACCCACTACACCACTTATGGGCTTGTCATGCGTCGCTTCATCATTAACTAGACGTTGTACATGTTCCATCATGGCTTCTATTTCATCAAAGTCCACATGCATAAGCTTAGACAACATTTCAAGCATGTTGTTGACACAATTGTAAACTTTAGGATACCACTTATGTCTAAGTGCAAGTGCCTCTACTAACATGACTGTACTAGCTTGAGCTGCACTGACCTGCAAAAACAAGATAGGTAAATATAATATTAAAACAATTTTATGGAACTAATAGGTAAGTACAAAATTAAAATAAATTTAATGATAGTATAAACAAACCAACTACTCCTCATAACCTCAAAGTCTCATTATATATTGTGGTTCATGTGCAGGAACCACATCTTCTTCTTCCTGGTTAACATGTTGCATTATGTCTTTTGGTGGGTTAGCAACATTATGGATTATCTGATGAGTCACTCGGTAGTAACATACTTTCTACTCCTCTGAGGGCAACCTATTGTCAGTATCCACTTCAATGCCTGGCATCACGTGCTTATGTCGAGACCTCTTACCAACATAGATGTGATTCCTTGGAATACTTTGTTTAACTCCAAACTGCCGGCACACATGATTCAACATATATGACTTGGTAATATAGTCAAATATTAGGGTTGTTATGCACATTACGGTTTCAAATGTCTGCCGTCTATCATCTGAAATGACATCATTAAGCTTGAAATAAGGATTCCATATTATATGTCATATGATATGAAATCACACATATGACATTCAGTCAACAAACAACTACAAATACTTAAAAACAATCAAAATCAATCTATAATAAATCTTGTAATATCAAAGTTAACACTAATCGCATTAGGTTGAGGTTATCGAATTTTGTCAAATGGGTGGTATCAGGTTATGTGGATTACCATAATAATTATTTGGTGGCTCCCATCTTTTTACTCTAGGCATATTTGGAGAGATTTTATGTGGTATGGGCCTCATATGCATAATATGCTCATAAGACCAGCACTGCATTATATCAAAATATGATAAGAACTAATTATTTTTGGAAAGTAGTCTAAACTATTATGTTTATGTCAGATACAAAATATAATTTACCTATATAAGAGTGGCCGAACCACTAAAATGTCTTTGCTTGAAAGTACAAGCCTTTCTGAGGGAACGATATAGATATACAAGAGCAGCAACACCCCCAAGCATATCTATTGGCTTCCTCAATATCCTTAAAGAAGTGTTAATACATTGTTGGCACATTTACCTGCGATGGATCTGAGAAAATAATGACACTTATGAGGAAGAGCCTGTAGGCTCGGGTATATTGAAAAACCAGGTCACAATTCATGAAATTTGACCTTCAACCATGAATGCTTGATGATTGCCAAGTTGCCTCCAGTAGGGACTTCACCCAAATTGTTTTCTATAAACTCTAAGAGGTCACTAATTGGACGACATGTAACAGGGTTGCTATCCACAACTAGTCCCAATATCTCGTAAGCATCAAATAGTGTAGGTGTCATTTCACAAATTTGAATGTTATAGTGAAAAGAATTGGTCTCAGAGCGCTACCTCTTTGCACTGGCTATGAATAAGGGATGATCTATTCGACCCGAGCGGATAGTAGATAAAGCACCCAACCCAGACGCATTCACTAATTGAACTTACTCATTGGTTAGATACCAATCGTTTAATTAAAATTTTTTTTTATCGATTATTATTTCTTGTTTTGCCTATAATACAACAAATAGACAACATATAGGTCACAATACATATACATGTACTTCCCGTATGATGTTTAAATATTCCACAATTTATTAAAAAATAATTAACTAATGGAAAGAGCAAATGAATATATGGATATACACATCATTCCCAAATGTAATAGGATGAATGTTCTGGATGCAGTTGTAGCAAACTAGGGTCCTGAGGACCTCATTGATATCCCCCGTATGGATGGACACGATTCATATTCATTGAAACCCCATACCGTAATCATGTTAATCATAAGGTTACATATGCAAAACTTAACTGAATAAATGATACACAATAATGACATGCTATTATTAAACAGAAAAGATGGTCAGTTTTAGACAATAACCTAGTGTTATAAAGCTTTTCAACTTGACCTATAGGTTCTAATAAAAGTCCCATACTTGGCTTATCATCATTTTCATCTCTTTACCACTAACCATTATAATAACAAACACTAATCTATAAAAAGAACATGATAATACAAAGGAATGAATATCGAGATGCCAATAACTCATCACACATTTACATATACAATCAATGAAACAATGCTAAGTCACTGATTAAACCTCCAAATAAGTGATCACAAATTTACATATGAAATGAGCTCTCAAATAAATCTAGTCACGAATTATTCTATCCAAAATATTGAAGCATAAAGTTATTTATTTCCTATGTACTCCTAAAACCACAAGCATTTGCAAAATGTTTAATACATGCATCACAAAGCATATACAAATTTTCATTTTTAAGCTATTCAATCTATCGATAAGAAAAATCAACCATTTCCTAAGATATCAATATATCTATCATAAATATGTACTTAAAACTATCTAAGAGTATTAAAGTTAACACACAATACAATATAATGAAAAATCTGCACAACATTCAAAACAAAGCAACACATCAACTATATATGCAAATGCATTACCTCACAGATATGATCAATCACAGTTATGTAAATTTCCTCACATACACTAAAATGTTCAGCCAAAAAGTATAATTAACTCAATCGGGTATATAAATTTCTAGTTCTAAAAAACCCAAATTTCTCGTTCTTAAAAACCCCAAATATCACGGAAATATATTTTCATGCTTATATAACTGTGGAATCCGTCAAATAAACTCTAAATGGTCATTATATACTCGAGTGTGAAACCTTAAATCAAAATATTATGCAATCTAAAATTTTAAAATCGATCCATAAATCGTTGTATACCTTCACTATAGATCAGAAATCCGTGAAAAAGCCTTCAAAATTCGAGAAATGCCGTAAAAATCCTGAGCTTGTAATATATTCAAAGGTTAGGTTTTTTAGGAGAGAGCTTTTTTGAGTGACATACACAACAATAGCTTCGAGAGGTTTTCCCACAGAGAGCGTGAGATCCAGATAGCAAAGTGAACAAAGTTTTAAACTATTAGGGTTATTTTCAGTATTTCAACAATCGAAATAAGGCCTATTTCGGTTTTTCAAAAACCAAAGAAAGTAAAACAATATTTTTTTTTAAATTTTCGTTATGAAGTGAAAAACCAGACATACAAATATAAAATAAACTATTTGGTATTTTGATAATAATGGAAACTATATCAGATTATTTACATAATTTTCCTTTTGACAACAACTTTTTTAATTAATTTTTTCTAAATCGTACATCAAAACACGTGCGGAGCAGGTGCCCTTCGGTAGTTATCGTACTTCAGTGTTGGCAAATCTTCGCGTCTTCAAAGTGGCAGCACTCCGTTTCCTTCCCGCCTTAACTCATCGCAAAGAGCATCTCACTCCACCCTTCCATTGAATTCCAGGGTTTTCTTTTCCTTTTTTTTTTCTGCGTATTGAAACACTTCAGAGCCATGTTCATGAAAACGCTTCTTCAACGTGCAATCCTTCGAAGGAGCTCATTCAAACCTTTTCAAACTTGCTTAGGAACGTCTCCCGCTTTATGCATTTCACCCGCCTGTAAGTTATCTTCTACATTATGATGGGAGAAATTGAGAATTTAATGTTGAAATTTTGTGTCAATGGTCGATAGTTTTCACTTCTGATCGATTAGGTCGTGCGTACTTGTTCTATGGATTTTTTTATATGGAGAAATGCGGCTCTAGAAGTTATGTAATATATCAATCTGGTATATATTTGAGTTAAACTCGACTAAAATTGGGGTAAAATGAGGAAATCTGAAATTTTTTGTGTGAACAGATTCCAAGGGAGATGCGCAAGACCATGCAATTTGTTTCTGCTGCTTGTATATATTCTATGCGTTATATTTGATTGTAATTGTGAGATATTTGGGCTTCCAATTGTATCTACTCTTCTCATCAGAATGACAATATCTAGGTTGCCTGATTTCCATTTTTGTTATCCTCCATCTGGTTTTAAGCATTTGTAATTTATTAGGATGATGTATGCATGAGCTTTTGCTGACTTTGATATCCATTGTCACATGGGATCATTAGGTTGAGGAGTTCTTATCTATGCAGCCTTGAGGTATTTGAATCTGATTGTTTGAGTTATGGATCAAGATCAGAGCCCCTTTTTTTTAGATACTGGAATTTGTTTGAAGTTTTGGGTGCGTATCATGTACATTTGTAATCTATTTAGAGAAGTTCACATTAGCTCAGTTTTTATGGAATAACTTTTTCCATGCCTAACAAGCTGCATGTTCTCTTGTGGTTCTCTCTCTAAGAGTTCAGCAAATAGGTATAAGTTTCATGAATGCAAAGTAAATCGGCACTACACTCAACGAATGGATGCACCTACTTATCTGGAAAGGAGTGTCCTTGGGAAGAGTTTCGTCACAGGGCTTGATGGATAAATATAAATTTTTTTTTTTTTTTGGGGTAATTCAGTGGGGATGACAGGCCCCTACCTGTTTTTTAAGTAGTTAGTGGTTTTTGAAGCTGTCAATGGGAATGGAAGCCACAATGTGCAATTGAGATATGGGGTGTGCTACCACCACGATCTCAGCATTGCAAGGATGTAATATGAATGCCCTGTGATTTATAAGATACATCAATGATTCAAAATGAAACGTTGGGGTATGTGCTCTAGTTGGGGTTGCCCTCTATAGAGGTTTTAAGAGCACATTATATTTGGGCTCATAACTCATTGGTAATCTATAACTATGAGCAATAAAAATTATTAAGTAATGAGTACTTTGAACTTCACTTCAAGTCTAGTTTCATTTGTTCTATATACATTGCTCCAGATTCTGTGTGTGTTGACCATCCTACCTTGAGGTCCATTTAGCCCTATGAGTAAAGCTGCTAGCCTATCCAAATTTCTTTAGTCTTTAATACTAGAATCAATGAAAACTTTATTTTTGATGGTCAATGATGCTGTGGCTGATAACAGTAATAAAACATATATCAAGTTGTGCTAATAGTTACAAGAAAATGGAACCACACACACAAAAGCCAGTGAAGGAGGTCTTCCAAGTTGCAATGATATTCGTCTAACCACAACTAACCAGATAGAGAGTCCACTTCTACTATAACAAATATGTGAATATGGGAAATGATAACTACGGCCAAAAGAGAGAGGTGAAGGATTTCCTCCATGACATGTGAAATATTCCGTTGGGCACAAAATTCTTAGGTACGACCACCTGATATGCTAAGTAACTCTCATTTCATTACATGGTCGGCCATGGAAAATTAAGGGCTAGTTTGGATATACCTAAAATTGGAATATTTTTGGATTGCAATCCAAAAATCTTTTGAAACGGATTTTGACCGTTTGGACAACTGCACACTTTTGCCAGATTTTTAGATTGGACGAAAAAAAAATCCCCATACCAAGGCAAAAATTGCCATCCAAAAAAGTTCAAGTTAGATTGCATATTTTTGGCTTGAGTCGCGTTTCACACACCTCTCTCTCTCTCTCTCTAACCCTCATGCTCTCCCTCTCCTCTCTGCTTTTCCCTCGTCTCCTTCTTCCTCTGTCTAGCGGATCACAAATTATTTTGCAGATCCTCTCTCCCATCACCCCAAACTTCCTCTACGAAACCCTCCTCTCTCTACACCTAATGGCCATGGCCATGGCCCTCGATCTCTCCATTCTCGCCACACCCAACAACTTCATCAAGAAGAAGAAGAGTATGAGAGAGAGAGAGGAGAGAGGAGAGAGAGAGGAGGAGGAGGAGGAGGAGGAGGAGAGTAGAGAGAGACGAGACGACGACGTAACGAAGTAAAGTAACGT